TCGGCGTGCGCGCCGCACGCGAGCTCCGCCGCCTGCGGGAGCAGCAGTAGACCCGCGGCTAGCGTCGTGCACGAGTAGACGTCGCGCGAAACGTCCGAGCCCGCCTTTCCCCCGACGCCGGATTCACCGTGCTGGATGTGCAGAAGTAGCAGTGAGCCAAAGCATGCCAGGCGCCAGAGCAGTAGCAGCAGGTCCGGAAGTAGCCATGAGGTGCCGACTGACTCCCAAGTCGACGGACCGAATGCTCCGCCGCAGTAGCACTCAACGAGGTCGCGTAGCCCCACCCCGGGTTCAGTAGCCAGCTCTACGACTTTGAGCCTTTTCTTCTTCTTTTTCTTCTTCTTCCTCTTGGGGAGGGTGTACATACCCGCGTCAGACTCATCTCGCGACATGTAGCCAGAACGGCATCCGTCCATCGAGGTGTTATCGAGGGATACGTGCGCGTCGTCCTCGGTCCGCATCATCTTGCGCGTTTGGTCTGGTCGTTGCGCACCCTTTCCTCCTCCCGAGTCTACTTCATATCGCCTTGGAATTCTCCCACGGATCAGGTTTAATGCTGCCAACACCCACTTGTCGCCTCGGCTTCTGATGCCATCCGTTGCTTCATTCACTCCTTCCTAATTTGCTCCCGTGTAGATGCGTGCATATGTCAAATTAGGAACGGGGGATAGCCAGAGACTGAGCAACCAAACAGCTCGCCTTGTAGCACACAATTGTAATTTGAACAACCACGGCGCATCTCATCATTTCTTAACTCGTCCCAAACTACGTATCCTGGATGTCCTTATACCTTCGCACTCATAGAAAGTGGTGCTGCGACTCCCGAACATTTATTGTACTCGCGAGCTCCTCTCAAGAACCTTGGATACCATGTCTTTCTTTTTCGCCATAGGAAAAACATCCTTCGTTCCTTGCCAAGAGCGCATTAAAACTGAAGAAACAACCCTCCCTGACATCAACCCGTACTCGGGCCCCTGTTCCTTAAGAAGCCTCAGTCAGGCGCCTTCCGTTGTCTGCTCCATCGTTTAAAGGAACACCCTGGAGCATCCAAGAAATCAGGCTGTTTGCAGGATACAAAGAGCACTGCCTTTACTCCCAATACCTACTCTGGACAGTTGCAACGCAATGTGAATAGATATCTCCGAGCGGGACCACAGTAACCATAGCAACCCCCTTGTCTAAAGTCGTCCTATGATTCCCTAGCGTCGCTCCTAGGAGCACTCGATTTCCAACATTGCCCAGGCCACCTCAAACCGTAGACGTTTCCAAATCCGTGCTGGCTTTCCGCCTCACTAATCTATCTAGATAGATTGAGGAACAAGTCGTATCCTATTGCGTTGATGACACATCCAAACCGAGTCAACGAGGCGGGCACGAGCGTCTCCCAATTTTGGCAACACCGAATGCTGCATGCCCAGATGTCCTACGGGAAGAATGAAACGCGGAAGCTTCTTCAGCTAAGAAATTCTGATGTCTCTTTCGTTGAAAAGGCTAGGATAAGCAATATAGAACCTCATAATCGCTGTCGAAACCACTTGCCAGCCTTCCGTGCGAACCTAATATCACACTTCTCTTGACGCATTCCAATCCTCTACTGATTGCATGCATGGCACCAAAGGTCTCACTTAGTAAACGGTTGCTGAAGAGCATGACCGTCAATCTACACCGGGGGCTGTGCAGTGGGCGTCCTTGCAGAAGTATTCTTCGCTCTCTGCGGCTGGTGCAGCTGCTTGCTGTCTGCATGCTTACAAACACCATCCTTGTGAAGAGCTTGTTCTTCTGCACTAATGAGAGAATAAAACCTGCTCTTCTGATCCTCATGCACTTTAAAATATGCGTCGGTCACTTTGCCGTCTTTGGCCGGAAATGGAACCGTCGCCCACCCATTCTCAATGGCAATAGAATCGGCCGCAAAGAAGATTTGATCATTCTGCGTGAGAATGTGACGAATGGAGGATGACACAATGTGATCCCCACCCATCTTTCGAAACTGATGTGGATGAGCCTCATCAATAACCTTGCGCAGTTGAGCCGCGGTAAGCGGACCGTGTAAAATGATCGCTTCGCCTATCCATTGCAACAGCGGCAACGTTTTTTCTGATGGCACCTCCTTCTTCTTCACAGAAGCTTTGATTCCAGAAGGGAGCAGAAACGAAATACACATCGGGTCGCGTCTACCGAAAGCAATATCTGCTTGTGAGCGCAGCAATACCGGGGGGCTCAGCCTATGAACAAACTCTCCGTTTACGAGTATGCCGTTCTTGCTCAAGTTTTCCACTTCGAATGCTTGAAGCTCCGGCGCGAAGCGAATCGAGAAATGCTGCCTGCTCACGGCGGATTCAATGGAAACAACTACATCGCACTCCACATTCTCTCCACCTCGACCGAGAATGATCTTCGGCTTGGTCATGTAGTGTTCCCACCCAGGTCCGACTATCTTGGCGTAGGCCCGAACTTCTTTCCTCATGGTTGCAAAAGGAGACGACTAGTTCTTTCAACAAAAAAAAAGTTTCGGAGGCTTGGACGCGCACTGAGTGCCTTCAGATGCAGAGAAAGCGACTAGCAAACTGGTCTGTATCCGCAGGGTGGAAGAGAGGTGCGAGCAGTTCAGAGATGAAGAATGAACGAGAGGAGAAGGTTAGAGCCTGTTTCGCGCCAAATGCTATTTCCATAAATTAAATAAATACTAAAGCAAAAGAAGTAAAATACAGTGGCTATCATCTGAATAGAAAAATCGCCTCCTGGCGAAATACTGAACCCGAGACCGCAACTTGTGCAGTAAACGCAACTAACGGCCCTCTTCTTCAGGCAACGCTGCGCCGCGCCTACATCCTTCGTATATACAGTATTGCGAAAAAGGAAGGGCTGCATCTACATTGAAAAATATCCCCATCGTACCAACTGTTACGCAACGGTTTCCAGTGAATCATTCCAGAGTTTTTCTTCTGTAGAGAGCAGCAAAAGCCTCTCAGAGAACTAACGGATTTCGTTCATAACCACTATACTCGCTTTTCTGAAAGCACAAATGTTATCCATATGTTAACCTACAGGAAACTCATCGCAATAGTTCGGTGCTGACAGGCATGACTTTGAAACGATGCTCTCCTTCATGCGCCGACGTCGTGTGCATGACACAACATATGAAGTGATGTCGGTATGAAAACCTATTCACGCCCGTTTACAAACTTTTGATTTTCCTTAAAATAATAGATACATGACACACTCTAGATTGTCTACTTCTAATGTCTCCATGGCAAGTGGCCTCACATGAAGATACTTTTCAACATCGCCGTTTTGTGTTGTAGACCAATTAGTTCAAAACGAAAATTGACTCAATGAAATGTCTATTGACTTCCCAACAGTTATCGGATAGATTTTGATGCACAACTGAGTATTTTGCGTCTTTCCCAGACGGTTCTGTCTGGAACCAGATCGACCTCTCCGTCGCCCCACCGATATTTAAAAACACTGCAGTACAGTAGCATCTTCAGGAATTTCGTTATACCTCATGTGAGACTATCATCCTTTTCTGCGACAAAGAGAGACCTAGGGTATTTTGATAACTTAGACGTTCGTTTTGAACACCTGATATGTAGAGCGAGATACATCCAATAATGCACCCCCTTGACAAGGATCGCATTTGCTGTACTGCTCAAAAAGGCCTTTTTTCCTTGGCAGTTACTCTGAGGCCCGTGATCCTCATACACAGGCGGGCATCGCACACATAGGCGACCTGCTGACAAGCCAGGAAAAGTGCAGTATTGGGAAAAAGCAATTCTCAGAGTTGCATTACTAACAAATCTCCTAACGTATTTGCCCACGACACCGACAGCTTGGACAGCATCGGGACCACAATTTTGAATCCAATGGAGGCCCAAGAGGACCACATGACAGATGCCTCAACACATAACGCAATTGCGATGCTGAGAGCTTTTGTCCAATTCGTATATAGCAAAAAGACCTCCCGAAGAAGAAAGTTAAAACAAGTATGTTCTTTGCAATTTCAATCATTTGAATGATACCTATGGGTGCCACTTCTACCTAGAAAGGCGACTCTTCAATACTCCATATCCACGATGTTCTCACTCATAAATCTACGTTATGAACATTCTAGATTCTATGCCCCAGTCGTCAGGCCGAGACATGTAATTGGTGTTGTAGGATCTTCACACTTTCCATTCTCACATTGTCCTCTAGCACACTCACTGTCCAGTCCACATTTGCCACATTCCCGAACAAAGCAACCCATTCGGTTTGGCGGCTTGAAGCATTTGCCCATTATGCATGGTGCGAGTCGGCATTGCTCGCTTCTGTCACACTCTTCACACGGTGTCCGAAAGCAATTGGCAAGATCATCAGGATTAGCACACTTGCCGAAATGACAAGTTCCGCTGGCACATTCATTGTCTTGAAAGCAAGAATCGCACTCTTTCTTGAAGCAAGCTCGTCGATCTGGTGGCATGAAACATTTCTTGTGAATGCATCGGTTGTTCCTGCACTGGTTGCTTCGCATGCAGTCCTGGCATCCGGAGCGGAAGCAGTTTGCGGGGTCTGCGGGATTAATGCATTTCTTGAAGCTGCAGGTGCTGGAAAGGCAGTCACTTCCAATCTTGCATCTCTGACACTCCTTCCTGAGGCATTTTCGGAAGGAGATTCTGTTCCTGAAGACGCACCTGCCTGTGGTTGAATCTGTCCCAATCCGACAATCGGCGTCTCCGCATTGCCAGTTAAACTTGCAAACCGCACATTCCCTCAGGATGGGGCACCCTCGGATTGGCACCCTTGAATTACGACAACGATTAGCGCTCTGCGCTTCAAGCAAGGGAAGAAGGACAAGCACAATGACAATTAATTTCATGATGTTTTGGATGGGTCAGGATGTGTAGATTTGTGACTACCGGAAAGCCGAGGCAAATTCTTGTCCTTCTGCTATCAATGCGAACGTTTATATATGCAAAGAATGAGCCTCTGGATGGCTTCCTGCTGCCGGTGGTTCCTATCTGGGGTTGTGTCTGATTTCGGTGAGGGTTTGACTGGAAGAGTGGAAGACCATGTGCAGCCTGCATGGGTTGAAAAGGAGTCCACGAAGGATCCATCTCATGGCACTGCCATCGTTCCAGACAAGATCCCAACATGATTTGCCCAATGAGCGTTCCGTATTCATACCGAATAGGAGGATTCAATTTTGATCCGAGCTATCATAGTATGGCCCTTTTTATGAGCACAATGTATAGACAGCGTTCTGAAGAAGATCAGTTTGTTCGAAAATCAGCGATTAGAGGGTGGGTATTGATGATACGTTCAGACATGAGTAAAAAAGTGTTATGTACATGTCTTATCATCATGCACAAGTTGTTTAAGACAAGAAACCAAGGTATGAGTTCAGATTCTGATAGCACGACCACGTGGTCTCTCTCTCTTGTCCATGCTGTCTTAAAGCAGTCTTGTAAGATAATATGTATAGAGGTGTGCTGTCCTCCCCTTGATATAGTGCAAATCTATGCAACAACGGCGCGCAGACCCCCTCGCTTAAACAGTTGGTGAAAAAGAGACACCATACGTACACCGAGGTGATACGTATTCGTAGAGGGTTGCTAAGAGTGCGGAACAGGGGAGAAGCATGGCATACAGGAAGAGGAAATATTGAAGTTATTTCCTCACAGGCATAGAACTGTAACTTCCTCAGGCAGAGCTCCGTAAAAATGGCTTTGATACTGTTTATATATGGTTCCTCTCTATCCATTGACAGTGTTGTCATGACACACGCTATCTTTTGGTTGCCTTGCGAATCGTGTGGGAAACCACCGTCTAGACACACCTCAAAGAGTAGCTACATAGCGAGAGCTTGTGCTGATAGCATACGTACAGTCTCTGGACATAAGTCTCTTTCTATGTCTACTTTGGGAGGGTGGAACCAACAAAGCACCCTAGTTGGCAGGATCCGTGGGGATTCAAATCTCGTCTAAAGCTAATGTCTCTAGCTAGATGGCATGTGTGACCTCATCTGGGGATATTTTTCAGGATATTTTTTCTGGAATTGTCATTTCTCGATAAAAGGGACACCGATACTCTCGTCACCATTCTGGACGTCTGCGTTGCGAGAGGATAGATTGTTGTGAGATCTACATGCCCTTTCCGGTCGCTTTTAGAAATGCCTGGCAAACAAGCTCTTTTGAGCGACCTTCGAACGTTTTGTATTGATAAGCCGCTCGTCTTTCGACACTGGTTCCTGTTCACTCTGGCACGAAACGTTATGTCCAACACCACGTCACCTGCATCTTGGCCAGAAGATTGTAGCCCTTAGATATGTGAGAAATCAATGCTTTTTGATCGTATGACTCTTCATACTATCGTACATCCAGGTTTGAGTGAAGACTCAAACCTGGATGTACGATAGTATCAATTACTTACAACATCGCTGATTATGTCACTGCCTTTCAAACATGAAACTAAAGTCCGAGGAATTCCCACACCAGAGTGCATATAGTTCATCATAGAACTACTTTGACCATCCCGCTCCAAAGGCATAAGTGATGGCAACGACGTATTCTTTAGACACTTTCTTAATCGAGAAAGGATGTCTGGTGTGTATGCCCATACAGCTGTAAAACACATTATCCGTCGAAATATCAGTCATCTCGTATTCATTCGTTTCTGTCAACGCCGAAAGGTATTCATTCGAAGCCAACTATCGGAGATGTGACTAAGCATAATGGCCAGCACATTGGAGTATAAGAACCACA